TTCGGGCTTGAACTGATGGTAAAACTAATGACATTATTTACTGTCTTTACATTTATTTTGAAAGATGAAGCTCGCGTTTATGGTAAGGGGCGTTACATTTCTGACTAGTGCTTGCGGTGTTTGGCCAATCACAATGCACTGGGTCAGCTGGCCAATCAGAGCAGACTGCGCTTGTCGGAAGGAGGGACTTTGTAGAAAATGAAGCGTTTGAGAGAGGTGGGGCATAGAGGACCTACAATAATGTACAGTATTTGAAAAATAATGTGTTTTTTGAACATTAAAGCATGTCAACATATTCTGTTACACCAAATACACAAAATAATGATCTTTAAAAAAGCATCATATGACCCCTTTAAAAGAAAATAGTTTGATCTGATGTTTGTGCTGCCTGTGAGCGCCTGAAGCTTCTGTGGGTCTGTATGGCCTCAGTGCTGCTGTGTGTGTTTGTACTCACCAGTGCCCGGCTCACACTCCTCCAGATCCTCATCATCACTGGGACATTCGGCTGATGCCACCAGCAGGTCATCTGAGTTCTGAAAGTGAATACAAGTACAGATGGTTCATTTTTCCAAGTTTGCAGGCAGATTGCATTTAATTTGATTTCTCTACAACATTCTCTGCAAGCAGTCTGAAATTGTTGATTTATTTGGCCAGTTTTCTTTTAAGCCCACTGCTTTGGTCATATTCTGCCACTTATGCCCCAGGGGTTGTTTTTATGAAAGTTAACAGTTTTCAGCTTTTTTCACATTAAAACTTTTCAATAACTTTTAATAAAATTTTTCTACTTTTCAAATACATTTTGATATTATAGTTTTACCCTTGACCCAGACTTTCAGAAACGATAAAAAATGACTATAAACATGAATGATTAAAATGTTAAATCAATGATGATTGCAACAAAGAAATAATATACAAACAATTTCAATATTTTTTGTGTGATTTATATAAATGTAAAAATTACAGCTGCCTCAGGTATTTTCACCACAATAAACAATTTTGCCTTTAATAAAGTTTTTTTTTAATTTTTTTTTTAATCTTTTTAATCTTGCTTACCAGGGAGACAACAGTGTCAGTCAAGAGCATATCTGATACAAAATAAGAGAATATATATATATAAATTTTTATTGTGTGTCATTTTCAATTTGTAATTTTGTACAGTGATGCAAAAAGTGTGAAAATAAAATAAAAGTGCCCCTATTATGGATTTTTGAAAATTACCTTTCATGCAGTGTGTAACACAGCTCTAAGTGAATGAAAATATCCTGCAAAGTTTTAAATGTGAAAGTTCACCGTGTATAAAGTTATTGTCTTTCAAAAGAAAGAGTTGACCCTGAATCACTGAAACGAGTCGTTTTTAAAACGAATCCCAAGTCGTTTCATGTTGATGTCAACATGAAACATTAGCATATTGCCCGCCCACTTGTTGGTCTTTTCACGTTGGTCTGAATGAAAATGCAAATTAATTCTTTGACACTAGGTGCAGCTTTTGGAGCGATAAAAATAACGGTTTCCCCAGTAACCGTGTTGCCAAGTCTGCGGTTTTCCCGTGGAATTGGGCTACTTTAACACTGTTGCCGCGGGTTGTTTTTCATGTCCGCCGGTTGAAGCGACCCTGATAACGTAATATTTAGCCCTTGGAATGCGAATTTTACTGGAGGATTATATTTTACCCCCCCCCGAATGTGATTTTTACCAGGGAACCCCCCTTGAAACGCGATTGGGCTAGTTTTGAGTAGCAATTTGGTGGGTTTTGTTGCAAAAACCTGGCAACCCTGCCCTGTAACGCTGTACACAAAGCAGCACTGCGCCCACAAACGCTGCTTTATCAGGCATTACATGCCTAAAATGAGACCAATCATCGCAGATTAGCGTCACGCAAAGAAGGGGTTTGGAAAAATGAATCGTTGAGCGAATCATTTGGAAGTCATTGAGCAAGTAAGGTAAAAATGAATGCATGCATATTATAAGACAATGAAAGTGTTTTTTGACCTTGCATGCATGTCATCCTGTTGTTGGGGACTCCCAAAACCAAAATATGAACCTTTCATTAACTATAATAGGGGCACTTTAATTGTGTGTATTTAGGATACATAAAATGCTACCAATGAAATTAACTTTAGGAAGACAAAGGAGTCAATATATTCCAAAAATGCTTAAAATGTCACTTCCACCACATTCTAAAAGTGTTTGAAATGTCATTTTAAAACACTGTAGTGAAAATTCTTCCAGAAAATGACAGAATTCTTCTGTGATGTATGTCCACTGTTTCAATTGTATTTTCTGAAAGTCCACAAGCTCAAAAGCACCCACGGCTGAAGAAACACCCATTGGTTGCTGAGGCATTTGTTCAGCTCTTATGATGCTAGACCAAATGGCTTTGCTGCCCCTTGGTTTGACCTGAGTTTGAATTAACATTCCCGACTCATACCTCACATTCATAAAACATGTAATTGGATCTGGGGCATGACTGATTTGGGCGCATCAGTTTGTCCTTTCCTATCGAGAGGTCAGAACAATTTTGCTGTTCACTCATATGGGCATATTTATCTGTTTGCGAGTCTGGGAGCATTGGCAGAATGAGACTCCCCTTTCGAAGGCTAGATGAGGTATAAGAAGGTATTTATTGATGGTGACACCAGTATGTGCATTCGCGTTCTCTATTTTAATACACACAAACAAAAAATATAGCTAGAGGAATACCTTTTACATATGAATGTAATAAAAACAATCATGGTAAGCATCATAAACTATTAAAGAGTTAATGCAATGAGCTCTAAATGTTTGTGTGTGGTTTCCATGACTAACTGAATTGGCTTGTAGACAGTCTTAGTCGGTCTGGCTGAAATAGTGCTGTATTGATCTAGTTCACATTTTGCTAGAGTTTTTCTTGTTCTAACTGTTCACCATTGTCAGCTACAAATATTTTAAAACCTCAACTGGGCAGAGTTAAATTACTTATTGAAGCTTATTGAGAAAAACATTCTGTTTCAAAGCCTTTCCAATGTTATTATGCTTAATTTACACCAAATATACAAAAACATTTTGTATCCTCGACATCCATCAAATACTGATGTAGCTGAACTGCTGAAAACAAAACAAACAAAAAAAAAACCTTAAGACAACCAACCTTAAATATACTGAAAGCACCATCAGGGTTATTTTAAATAAAAAGCCTGCCTTTGAACGATCAAAGCATTTACTGGGAGAAAAGAAAAGATATGACAAATTTGCTTGGTTTTTGAGTCTGATTTACAAATACTAAAGACTGACATTTCGAACTTCTAATTAAAAGACGCATTGCAGCATTAGTTTTGCCTGACTGCGTTTATTAAAGGATAATTAGCGCGCTTCTTATCTGCACTTCTGCACAATGCCTATGTGTTTGGTAAGACAAGTTTATTAAGCGCACTGAAATTGCAGGTTGTGTTTTGATGTGTGCATACATTTTTGACAAATACACCATGACTAATTTTTTGACATGGCCAAAAAGAAAGGAGAGGGCACTTTAAATGTCCTAATCCTTAAAAGGGAAGTATAGCATTTTGTCAGCTTGATCAAGGGCTTACTTAACCAACACTATTCACAATGGCACAATTTCCAATGCAACGCAAGAGCGATGATGTGAGCTGTGATTTATGTGGTGTCGTGAAGTTTCACTTCAAAAGAACCACAAATTTGAGGTCATGGAAAAGCAATCTTAGAACAAAAGATTTATGCTGCTGGAGGTATGGACGCTTTGATACAAAACAGCACAAGCCACTCAAAATGAGGCTGAAATAATAACATATGTCTGACCCTGCAGCTCTGACTGATTTTCAGAACACTTGATTTGAGTTTGAAATGTACACTGAGTAGATTTGCCCTTCAAATATTCAGATGTTTTTCCTCCACATTCAAGGCCTGATGTGTGCTGCCTGGCTCCCTATTGTCTACAAAGGGAGCATCTTCATTGACAGGGAACATTATAAGTATTTTGGTCCAGAACTATCTACATAAGTCTATGTTTACCACACAAGCGATCCCCATGGACTTATTATTACAATTAATTGCAGTAAAGTGTGGCATTAGCATGCTGCTAAACTAACAACAAAATATTCTGCATGGGATTGACTCATTGATTTCAGTAATGTAACAACATGTAGCTAAACTAGCAACTACATATTGTGTACATAACTGACAAACAATTCATTTCAGCAGTGTAACATTAACATGTTGCCAAGCTGATGATGAAATACTGTACATGAGATTGACTCACAACTGATTTTAATTGTGGCATTAGCATGTTGCTAAGCGAATTATGAAATACTCTGCATGGGACTATATAGAAATACATAGAACCAGGGCTTGACATTAACACCCGCCAACCCGGCAAATGAGGGTGGATTTCAATAGTGACATGTGACAGTCACTCCCACTAGCCACTTTGGTGGGTTGAAATTTCAGGATTTCCGGGGGTCCTTAAATTTAGTTGTATCAAATTTAAGGCCATAAAAAGTCTTAAATGCCCTAACTGGTACAAGAAATGTCTTTATTACAAATTCAAGAGGTCTTAAATTTGGGGACAGAAAGACAAGAATCGCGATATGATTTAATGTGACGATTAAACTTCAAAAGGCTATAATTTCATTGAATAAATATGAGTGCTACACGTTTCAAAACGCAGCGCGGGTGTTTTTATATGAATGTATCTCTGAAGGGAATTGACTGTTTTCAGAAAACTTTCTGACATTTTCATTTTATCTTACCTACTTATAATGCCTGATAAAGTATTGTTTATGAGTGCAGCGCTGCTTTGTGTTCAGCCATTACTGGGCAAATCGCTATATTTCTGCCGTTCCAAAAGCGCCACCTGCTGGCAGAAAATGAATGTGCATTTTCAATAGGCCAGTCTGATGTTTTTATTTAGAATAATGTGAAAATCAACCCATATTTTTACGCAGCAAACACATAGTCGTAAATGTGAACCAGTGGATCGATAAGAAGCTAAAAGGCTTTGCTTCCGGCTTCTCTACCGTTCGGACGTTCTTGCTTACTGCTCTGCGCTTTGCTTCCTATTTTTTGTACTTTTCTCGGATTTTTCTAAGATTTTTACTTCAGCAGATCAGCACAGTGCTCAAACAACACATTTTTGGCACAAACACTAAAACTAAAAACTCTTTGGGACTGGAATAATACTACAAAAAGGAGACTTTTGCCTCCCACTGCCAGCAGCTTGCATTCCGGAGAAGGGAAAACTCAGCTGTCTACATTCAAACAGTCGAGAGAGAGAATGCCTCCTGTTGGATCTACTTGCATTAACTGCCGCAAACTTCTACAAAGGATTGTGGTTCTTGAAACAAAGTTACTTGCTGGACTTCCAAAACGGGCAGAACACTCAGCAGACCGTCATCATGGACCCCCTCAGCATACAGCCGGTGAGTCCCATGAATCTAGTGAATCTCTAACAGTTTATACCAAGTGTAGAGGAACAAGCCGAAACTGATCGACACACTAATCGATGGCACAAACAGGGAGCGAGAGCCAAAGGTACTCA